GGAGGCGGAGGAGGCGGAGGAGATGGAAGAGGTGGGAGAAAAGAGGTGGCGACAGGGCAGCAGGTCAGTGCGACCAAGGTCAGACGTACCACAGGCCAACGGGTTGGGGAGGGGGGAAAGCAGGTAGGATGGGACGCTGAGAGGGGGAGGGGGGGGGAGGGAGAGAGAGAGAGAGAGAAAGAGAATCCAGGAGCAGGGTACTTTCCTTGCTACGGAGCCCATGAGGCACTTTAGGACCAGATAGATCTTCGAGGGAACATATGTGGGGAACGGCCCAAGGCGGGCGACTGGGGACCGAAGGGGCTCTCCGATTCTGGCAGTCCTGTTGAGCTGCCGAGAGCATTCACCACCCAGGATGACCCAGGAACCGGACAAGGTCTGAGAGGCAAATCGGCGCACGATGGCCAGCCCTAGGTCATGTGCGTGGGGCTGATATCCGGATCACGGGGCACGATGACAGACTTTCAAAATTCCCAATCGCCAACATCTCCTCGGTCCCGTCCTTCACCCGGCTCCCACTCGCCAGCCTCCCCCGCCACGCCGGACACCAGCGGGGGGGCATCCGGTCCCGGAACGGACAGCCTACGCCGAGTTATGGCCCCAAAGAGAAGTGGCTCCACGCCTGTTTGGCACGCTGTTTGCGTCGATCCCCATCCCTCTCCATCAGCATTCCTCTCTCTCTCTCTCCCTCTCCTCAACCCTTCCTTCATCCCCTCACGCCTCTCCCTCCCCCACCCCCTCTTTTGCGCTTCATATCACCGCGCGCACCGTCCGCAATTATGAAGCTCCTCCTCCGCCTGGCACTATACGTGGCGGCGGTCCTGTGGTGCTTGCTGGGCGTGGTCCTGGCTGGACCACCTGGCGTCAAAGAACAGCCCCCTGCTCTGAGCACTGTGCGTCTGAAGCCTCCCCTTTCAGCTAACTTGAACACACACACACACACGCGCGCGCGCGCGCCTTATGTCCTGCTTTACCGGGCTCTCTCGCTCACCAAATGTTGACGACTTGCCCTTTCCCTCCCCCTCCCCCCCCCCCCGTGACTATGGTCACAGGCCGAGCTCCTGGGCCTCGCCCGCCAGACGGGGAAACCCATTTTCATCAAGGCCGACGCCGAGTTCAATTCCCTCTTTCAATTGACCAGTGCCTCCTCCTCTGAACGGGCCTACGATCTGTTCCTGATCTTCACCAGCCTGACGGAGCGCTGCCCCAACTGCATGTATGGAATCGGCCCGCCGCCACAGCGCTCAAAGCGCATGCCGCTGCCCCCTTTCTGACCTCATGTCCCTGCCACTTGGCATCCGACCCCTTCTCGCAACCACCCTCCCTCGGCTTCTCTCCCCTCCAGGTCCCTCCACCCAACTATTGAGCTGGCCGCGTCAAAGCTCCACACTGAGCAGGCCGCCGGCGACCGGAAGAACACTTTCATCGCGGTCCTGGATTACGCTGATGTTCCGAGCATCTTCCGCCGCGTCGGCGTGCAGACGGTCCCAATGATGCTCTACTTCGGCCACAAGAAGCCCCTCGAGCCGGTTCCCTTCACCGTGGACAGGTACGCCTTGATGGATAGCCATGCACCCGCCACCCCCTGCCCGGTCTCTCTCCCCCCAATGAACACGCCCATGGGGCACCAGCCCGCCAGCAATCCACCATCTCTGACGATGCTCTCCCGTGCTCGCGTGGCCATCATAGCTCTTCGCCGATCTACGTTTCACTCGGGAACTTCCTTCGTGAGCAGACCGGCCTCGCGCACTTCACCCTCACCCCGCCGCCGAATTACTTCCGTCTTGGGATGACCGCCCTGGTGGGTCTGGCCTCCGTGGTCTTGACGGTGGTTTTCTGGCGCAAGTTTTTGACTCCAGTGCTGCGAATTGGTCCCCTGCTTGGCCTCGGTGCACTGGTGTGTTCTCCTAGCAGCGCCCATTGCCTCGGCTCTCTTTTGCCCTTTTCATCTTCCCGAGCCTCTCTCTCGTGCACACACACACACACACACACAAGCATTCACATGGCCGAGTACTCCTTCTCCCGCTGTCCCCCCCCCCACACACACACCCTCTCTGTCCCTCTCTCTCTCTCTCGCACTCACACGCACTTTCATACCCGCCCTCCCCTGATAGTTCTTCTCGGTGTACATGCTCTCCGGGCACATGTGGAATCGCATCCGCAAGGCGCCCCGCTCGGTTGCTGGCTCTCTCATCTCGCCGGGATTCCAGACGCAGAACGTCGCCGAGACCAATGCTGTGGCTGTCATCTGTACGTGCCCTTGACCCTGTCTCCTGTTGGGCTCTCGGGATCTTTGTTTCTGACCTCCCTCTCCCGGCATGTCACCCGGGGGTGCCCTTCAGACGCTCTCGCCGCCCTGGCTCTTCTCGGCTTGACGGTGCACATCCCATCCATCCCATCAGGATCCTTCTACAAGCGCCGGGGGTTCGTTCTCTTCTATGCGGTCCTTCTCCTGGTTACGACGTCGGTGTCCTTCGCCATCTTCCGTGCGAAGATCGGCACGTACCCCCTGCGTCTGCTGTTCTGACCGGGAGGAAGTTGCAAAGAAAGGGCATGACACAACTGCAGCCACTGCAGCTGTTCTCCTCTTTGTACTTGGGGCACCGTCCCTCTCTTCCATTAAAAAAAAACAACAACCACATCCACCAACATGTGCGCATCTGTTTCCCTATCTCCGATCACACGAGAACCGGCAGAGGCAAAAGGGCAAAGGCAGCCTCAGGGCAGGAGGGAGGGGGCTCGGGCAGCCCCAAGCAGTCAGCCAACCACACCATGGCAAATGAGGCCCCCCCCCCCCCCCCCCCCCGCTTTCCACGTCAGCCCCTGGTCTAGGACTGGTAGAGCTGCCAAGCGTCCAGCGCCCCCCCCCGGCACGAAGACGCCCAGAACCGAGGGGCTGGGGCAAACAATGAATGATATCACCCTGTGTGGAGTGGTCATGTGATGCTATTCATGGCGTAACCGGTTATGTAATGCCGCACTCATCGGTGCTCGCGACCTATGGGCTGGCATTTGAGGGTATGCGCTGGCAGCTCATACTGCGTGGTGCATGCTCCGTACAGCACCCACAATCAGGTTTGGCCATGCGCCTCGCGGATCCCCACATCCAATGCCCGCCTACGGATCACCCGAGGGGGGGGGGAGGGAGGAGAGATGAGGGGGGGGGGGGGGGGGGGGGGGGGGGGGGGGGGGGGGAGATTCGCGAGCAACGAAGGGAGCACCACAAAGGAGAAAGGGGATCTTCTGAGGCGCACAGGTCTGCCGGCCTCCCCAGGTGTGGTTCCGCATGTGGCATCTTCGTGTGGCGTTGGCTCGCGTATAATCGCAGCAGGCCCTGCTATTACATGGCAGAGGGCGGTTGCACGAGTCTGCCCCCCCCCCCCCCCGGCTGCCCCTCATGAACCCCCTTCTCCCGTCTGGGCCCCCTCAAGCCCAAGTGACACGCCCATGGCCTGCAAAGATGTTTGCGCACATGTGTACACCTCCTTTCAGATGCGAGTTGGCACAAATACACGCACACAGAACACCGGTGGTTGGCTGGGTCTCCAGCCCTGGCCCTCGCCCACTGGCCCCCCAGCCCACTCCCACCCCCCACCCCCCTGTCCCCCATGGCACAAGGGTCTAAGCTTGTCCCACATAAGACCCTTGTTCCTAGGGGCGTCGAAGGCGGACAGGAGGGGGGGGGGGGGGGGGGGGACGGTGAGCATGGCCTGACGCCATCGTCCGGGAGCAGGTAGCCCACTCCTCGAACTCCCTCAAAGAGTGACAAAGGGGATTCCGCCAGCATGATTCCGGTGCGGGGCGGGGGGTGTCGATATGTGGGCCACAAGGTGGAGCAAGGATCCTCGATGATGTGCCGTTGGTGGATTCCTTGCGCTTCGAGTCCATGGCAACCGCCTGGCAATGCTCCTCTCCCGGCGGCAATTGACGGTAGGGGGAAAAGACTTCCACAGCAACTACTTTTCAGCCATCGAAATGCATCCTGCCCACTCCTGCTGCCCCCAGTACCGACCCCTGTCTTGCACTCCTCGCATTTACCCTTTTGCTGTGTTCCCGAGCAACACTTCGCTCGCGCTCGTCGCTGGTTGTTGCCTTATCCGGCCATTGTTTGTCGGGGACCGGCGCTTCGAGGCATATTCATACACACACACATACACACGCGCGCACGCGCGCAGTCTTGCCCTCCATCGCATACAGCTTGACGTCTGCTTGTTTCTTTGCATTGCAGCTTGTCTTGACGCCACACGGTCTTCCCCGGATGTCAAACACATCTCATCAACCTTGAAGTCCATCTGTCCAACCGCTGCAGGAGGAGGCTCACCTGCTGCTCAACATGACTGCCATTCTGACTGAGGAGGGGAACGCCACCAACCGGCGGACGTCCCCGCCGGATGCCCATGTCGCCAGTCCGGCAACGTCCGAGGCATGTCGGCAAAGTGTGCGTGCGGCATTCCCTTCACGAGCCGGATGCAACATCCGGGCTTAGTAGCCCCCCCCCCCCAGCACCAAACTCACAGTCCACCCTTTGACCAAGGCCACCGCCATGGCCAAAGATGCCGTGCGCCAGGCGGCCGCAGCCGCGGCCCATGGCCAACCCGCTACTTCCGGAAGTCCGGCCCCTTTGGCGGCGTCGCGCTCCTCCACCCCGGAGACCCAATCGGTCAATACTCTGCCCCTTTCGGGCGAGCAGGACATATCCACGCCCAATTACTCGGTGACAGGGTCGCCCGTCGTGGCTGGAGCCACACACGCCAACATGACCGATTCGGCGGCCTCGCTCAACAACGTGTCAATGACCACCGACGGCGAGAGTGTCCACGAAAGCGAGTCCCAGGCCGGCTGCTCGCCTCTACTGACAAGACATTCGCCGACCTCCTCACCGGAAGACTTCGAGCCGGAAGTCCCGGACCCGGCTCCGAATGGTGCCCGGCGCCTACGTGCTGCTCCCGGTGGCCGGTATGACACTGCCAAGTTGCCATTGGGAGACTATCGTCGCCTGGTGGACCCCTTCCCCTCGGAGCCGGCAGACCCCACCGACGAGGTGAGCCTCATTATCCGCGAGAAGCGCAAGCGCATTGTCCGAACCCGGGCTCCCCCCTCGCGCATTGTCACAAAGCCCGGATACTTCCTCAACGGCGGGGCGGTTGGCTCCCGACAGGGTCCCGCGGCTGCGCCGCGTAGGGACAACCCGCCTAATGTACGCCACACCTTTGGCTCTGGCCCTTGGGCTCATCGCCCCCTCTTCGTCCCGCCCAAAGACACTGACGCATGATGGCCTCGACCAATCACCACTGGGCGGTCGCGCGGCGGTCTCAGCCCCTGCGAGGTGAAGGTGCATCCGGGGCTGCCGCGGTGCCTGCCCAAACTCAGCGCGGCTCGACCGGGCTCAACTGGTGGAAGAACACAATCTGGCCTTTTCGGGAGAGCGAAAATGCCGATCAGGGGCATGATGGAGCCGAGATGGATGGTGCGGGAGCCGGGTTTTTGTCTCTCCTTTTTTTCCTCTTCGCGGCCAGCTCTACGCTCCTTCTCCCTCTCGGCAGGGGAAGCCTTTCGAGGCAATGGCCTCCATTTGAATCCATCTGGATGCCTGACACTTTGACATTTTTGGTTGTCCCCGCCCCCCCCCCCCGCCCCGCCTCCCGACGGGTATCCCACACGAATGCCCGCCTTCGGGAAGTCCTTCGCGAGTCTTGGGAGGGCGCCCATGCGCCGGTGTCCGGATCTCCGCCGGAAATCGACCCGTCGCGCTATGATCTGACCCAGTCGGACATTGGCCCGCAGTTTGGGTATTTCGTGAACATCGGCGAGGATGGCTCGCGCGGGCTCAAGTATGGGGAGTCGATGCCCTGCTGGTGCAATGGCCTGTGTGAGCCGGAAGCCCGTGGTTTTGGTGGGCGGCTCGATCCAGGCAGCCTATTTTCCGGGCTGCTTCAGGTCCCGGGAGCCCGGGCTGACAGCGCCACCGGAGCCGGTGGGACCGGCGGCCGCCCTGACAGGGCCCCTGCCGCCGCCAGCGCCGCCTTCCTGATTCCCTCCATTCGGGATCTCGATGCGCCGGCCGCCCAGCCTTACATCAATGAGGATCTGGTGGAGGTCCACGCAACGGGGCCTTGCTGCTCCCAGCGGCTTTGTGAGCGCGAAAACTCCAGCGGGGAGCTCTTGCGGCTGGTACACCGGCCTGATCGAGCGCCTCTCGGCGTCGGGTCCGTGGGCTGTTCGTCGACCGCCCTTCGGCCCGTACATGGCCTCAAGCCGCTCATCCTCGGCTCCAATGGCGGGGCATCCGGACTCGCTGTTGGCTCGATTCCCAAATCGGACGGGCCAAATCCGGGCAAGTCGGCCTCGCGTCTGCTTGGCACCCAGTCATCTGCCAGCAAGTCCAAGATCCACTCGCTGTCTCGGTCATCGAGCCTGAGCAAGCGAAACGGCCCATCTGCTGCCGATGCACCATCCAACGACCCGGGGCGTCGGGCACCCCAGCATCTGGCGAATGGGTCGGGCGTGCCGCATTCCGGTGCCACAGCCGGCCAGCCGGCACCCCTGGAGGAGGATGCATTTTTTCTGGGCGCCATGATCCCGCTCACGATCCTGGACGCCGAAGATCTCGAGGACAAAGGTACTTACGCCCGTGAAGGAGGATATCCGGCCTCATGAGGAAGGCCCCCGTGCGCAGGAGGAGGGCGTAGGTTGTCATACGACGCGAGCAGAGATGAAACGAATCGGATAGGGGGAGGGAAGATAGATAGAAGCGGTGAGAGGAAGAGAGGAAGAGGGAGGAAGAGAACGGATGTAGGCAGGCAGGCGTGTGCAACGCGCTGGTGTGGCACCCGAGTGCCCGAATCTAACTCCGCATCACCAAAAAAAAAAAACAAAAAAAAAACATCGCCACGGCACATGCGTGCCCACCAAAAGCATCCACGCCGATTGAACATCTCACCCTCATGCGCACGAAATCGCTCAGACGCAAGGCCCGACGTGCTGGCCCGGAGGGGCACCCTCCTCTTGGCTGTGCTGCTTCTCGGCCGCACGGTGAGGTGGATTCTCGGCCGGGCCGGTCGCACTTCGGAGCTTGCGACCTGCCCCGAGCGGGGCGCCGCCTCGCCGTAGAATCCCTTCCCTCGGGAGCTGGACCCTCGTCGCAGCCAAGGTACATGCACATCAGCGCACAAGCACACACCTTCCTCCATACATGTATCCCCCTGTCTACAAGGACAAGTACATGCTGCACATGCGATCACACACGCAGGCACATGCGCACGCATGTGTGCATGCACGCAAGCTGCTTTCCCGCTCGCGAAATGTGACTGCCCCAAGCCCAAGCGACAGAGAGGGGGGGGGGGTGTATTTCCACACAAACACACACACACACACACACACACACAAAGCAAAATGTGAGGGATCGCCGGTCCCGCTAAAAGCCGTCCACTCACCCACGCCCATGCGCGCATGCGTGCACCTGGTTCCTTCACTAACACAGCGGGTCCGCCGGGAAAAATGCCAACCTTCTTTCCTCCCTGCTCTCATGGCACAAGTTCCTCTTCGGTGGCAACGGCGGCGGCGGCGGCGGCGGCGGCGGCGGCGGCGGCGGCGGCGGCGGCGGCGGCGGCGGCGGCGGCGGCGGCGGAGGTGGAGGCGGAGGCGGAGGCGACGACAGCGGCACCGGCACCGGCACCGGCACCGGCACCGGCGGCGGTCGAGGAAGCGGCAGCACAGGTGCAGGAGCCGGCAGCGGTCTCGGCCGCCGAGAGTGATGCCGACTCGCCGGACGACGCCACCATGGCGCGGGCCTCTCGGCGGATGGTTCTCCTGCCGGCGGCGTCGCCCGCATCGGCTGAGCGGTCTCCGGGGCTCCATCAGCACCGGCGCCCCTCCCCCTCGACCCCGGACTTGGAGCCGCAGTTCCGCTTCACCGGGCCGGTGGTCACATCGCGGGAACACTCGGCCGACGAGCAGCCATCCATGCCCCGCCATCGAAGCCTGGGCCCCGCGGGAGCCTCGCGCACGGTGCCCTCCCTTGGCAGCGCCACTCGCCCGATGCCATCCCGGCGTCAGGCGCCGGCACCGGCACCGGCACCGGAGGCAGAAACTAAATCCTCGATTCCGGGCACGAGTAGGGGCATTCCAGATGCAGAAGGTAGCCCATATGTGTCAGTGCGCGAGTTGAGTCCCCGTCGAAAGCGAGGGTCTTATCAGTGGCGGCCGCGAGCCACGGCTGGGGACGGATCGGTGGCCATCCGGATAGCCGACCCTGCGGCACCCCTGCCCGCGCCTGGGGAATCACTCGGCAGTCGAGGGACCACCACAAACAAGCCGTCCCGGCCCTGGGGGAACCTGCTGACATTTATGCCAGTGGATGCAGACGAGTACGGACACTTTGCGGGCCATTCCGCAAGCGAGAGGGAGAAAGAAAGAAACAGAGAGGCGGGGGGGGGGGGGGGGGGGGGGAGGCGCAAGGAACAGTGACCACCCCAAACGGGCGACGCACATGCGGGGCTCCATAAGCTGACATGCCATGTGCGCGCGCGCGACCCTGCGTCCTTTCCCAATGTGTGTGATGCTTTGCTCGAAGGTGGGGGCTTTTCCTGGCCGCGGCTCTGCCCTTCCCACTGAGTGTCCTGGTGGTGCTGGTGGCGGCTGTGCGGGCCGCGCAGACGACCCGCCGCGAGGCATTGGTTGCTGCGCGATCTCGGAGCGTGGTCTACCGGGCCCGCCTGCATCAACGCCTGGTTTTGGCATTGGCCGTGCAGGGGATTCTCCTGACCCTGCTGGCAGCCGGCGGCGTGGCCATCCTGGCTGCGTTGTGGGGGCCAACCGCAGCAACATCGTCTCCCACCACGGAGGCCATCGCTCTTGGTGGCAGTAGTGAGCCCCTGCGCGGCGGTGACACCCCCGGGGGCTGGGGCACGGTCGCCGGGGTGGCTGCCAACTGGCAGGACACCGAGAGCAGCGACCGCCGCCGGCGGGACATTGCCTTCGAGCTTGACCTGGAGGATGCCTTCGGCGAGGTGCATCCCTGGCGCGATGCCAAGCACTTCCAGGATGCCAACCGCCTTACCGGGGGGAAGCTCAGCCGTGGAGTGTCAATTGCCTTTCGGATGCGGGAGGGACCGGCCAGCGAGGGGGATGGCCCGGCCGATGTGCGCCTCGGGCCAGGGACCCCCGTTCGTCGCATGGCCCTCCCGCCTCTCACCGAGCTGATCGAGGAGGATGCCTGGCTGCCAGTGTCCCGGACCGACCGCTTGAAGGAGGCCGAGGGGGCAACCCGGCCGGAGCCACGCCAGGCAGGCCGGACCCGGAACCCCATTTGGAGCCCGGTGGGTTCGGCTCGTCAACATGGGCAGCATACCGCCCAGCCCCGCCGCCAGTGGGAGCATCAGCAAGTGGCCAGTAGTGTGGCTTCGACCCCGGTGGTCCTGGCCTCGGTGGGGATCGGCTGCGCAGCCACCCTGCTTGGCGCGATCATCGGCCTGGTGGCAATTGCTCGGTGGCGGGCAACTGCCAGCAAGACCGAGGGTAAAGGTATGCTGCGATACATCCTGGCAAGCATAGGGCCCGCCTTCCGGAGGGGGGGTAGCAGGGGGGGGAAGGGCACGCACATCTCCTACCTTGATGACCATGCCTGCTGCGCCTTTCGCCCTTTGGCGCATTCTCTAACTCCCGGAGACAATATGGGTGTGCGGGGAAATTATCATCGGGCGGGTGGGGGACCGGGCGAACCAGCCCCAGGCGAGCGCCCCATTCCGGTGCAGGGGGATCGATCGCTGACCGACCAGGGCCGTGGTGGCGATGAGATGCCCGAACATTCGCAAGCAGATGACGTGTGTGAGGCGGACATCGGCCTCCTGTGCCTGGATGTTGAACGGTGCATCGACTGTCGCTCGGGGGGGGATACACCGGTGGAACGCTGGGAGCCAGGCAGAACCTGGGGACCGCGAGATGCCCAATGCAGCTGTCCCGTGGCTGGGGTCGCGACCGCGGCCCGGGCTGGGGAGCCCATCGGCGCCGGAACTGCAGTAGCTTCGACAGACGACGGAAGAGCACCGGAGGGGGAAGCCATCACCCGGATGGCCACGATTGAGCGGCCACCAGTCCTCTGGCCGGTGAGTCTCCTGCTTCGGCCAGCAGCCGCCTAAGGCAAGGAGAGAAAGAGAGCAAGAGAGCAAGAACAACACAGCAGAGGGTCACTTTGACACGCTCCGACCATTGGTGTCCCCCCCCCCCCCCCCCTTTTCGACATGTGGGGACCTCTGTCCGCCCTCAAAAAGCCGGGGGGGGGGGAGGGGGGGCGGCGGCGGAAACCCCATCAGGACGTTGGAGAAAATAGAACTAGCATGTGGCAAAGGAAGATGGGGTCGGAAAGGAAAGGGAGAGGCATGTGTACATTCGCACGCGGCTGTGAGGAAGGGGGGGGGGGAGGGGGAGCCTGTGAAAAGGAGGTGTCTGTAATGGAGGGGAGAGGGGGCGCGAGGGGGGGGGGGGGGGGGAGAAGATGGGGGAAAACAGGATGGGGTAGAGGGAACCCGAAACCGTCAAGCCGCGCTCTCTATAGGGGGGAGGGGGGAGGGGGGAGAGGGACAGACCCGCATCTCCCGGCGCATGCGGAGGCGGGCGAGGGAGATAGATTGTGAGTGGGAGAGGGGGGGGGGGGGGGGCATTAAGCGGGGGCAGGAGCGTCCGATCGCTCACTTCCGGAGGTGGCCCATCTCCTCATAGGCAACGATAGAGGCGAAGATCGCAAAACCGAGACCGAGGCCGGGGAGGGAGCGCTTGAGGGAAGGGCAGAGGGCGGTTAGAATTGAGCAAAGGGCACACATACACCCATGTAGTGGGGGGGGGGGGAGGGCGGGAGAGATGAAGTGTTGCGTACGCGAAGGTTGTTCGCGGGAGAGTAGGCGCGGCGCCAGGCGTGGATGCGGGCGCGAGGGTCGCTGGCGCGAGAGGCGCCGGAGCGAAGCTGGCAGCTGGAAGCGGGGTTGGGGGAAACGTCGGTCATGGTGGTGATATGGGGCAGGGCGGGACTCGTCTGATGCAGGGCTGTGTACATGGCAGGAGGAAGAGGGAGAGGAGGGACGAGGGGAATGAGTATACAAGAGGGAAGTGGGGGAGAAGAAAAGGACCGGAGGGGGGGGGGGGGGAACAGGAGAGATAAAGGAAGAGGAGAAGAGGCTGCGCAAGCGCGCGAGGCGCGGGGCCCAGGGCTGAGGAAGGATTATGGCGCAGGAGGGCCGTCCATCCTCCGACCCGTCAAAAGGAAGAACCGCGAAGGATCAATTGTGCGCTTGAGGGCGTTGCTTGATGGGCCACCGTGCAGGAGCAAGCCTCGTTGGGGCGGAAGGAACAAGCCAGGCGGGGGAAGGGGGGGGAGAGGGGGGGGCGGGGGGGGGGGGGGGGGGGAGAGGGGGTGGGGGGGGCAGTACAATCGGAGGAGAAGGGCGCTGGAGAAAAAAAGCAGCCACTGAACGATGGGTGATGCATTAAAAAGAGGTCATCTGGCGTGATTTCATGGAATACGATTCTACGGAGGTCAGGATTGTGTCTGGTCATGTGCCAGGAAGGGATGCAGTGGCATTAGTACCGGAGGCTGACCGGGCCAGTAGGGGGGGGGGTGGGGGGGGGGGGGGAGGGGCTGGGCCGGGCCGGGCGGGGCAAGAAACGCGCCAGG